AATCAAAAGATGCTTCTGTAAGCCTCATTGTAACCACAATCAAAAAATTTGCTATAGACAAAAAATAATATGTGAGCAATTAAAATTAACTACTAAAGTAAATCATTTAACAACAAAAGGAGATTGTAAGAGAGTGAGAAAAAAAGAATTATAATAAAATTAGGAAATAAGTTATAAAACAACTACATTAAGAACTTTCTTTAGGGTGGGAGTATAGTTCAGTTGTAGAATTCTTGCCTAGCATATCAGAGGCTCTGGGTTCAACCCCCAGCACCACCAAAATAATAATAATAATAAATAATAATAATAAACCTTTACCTACTGATAATTATTTTAAGTGTAAATGGATTAAAATTTCTAAATAAAGTCACAGTAAATGGATAAATTTTTAAAAAACTATATGTTGCTTATAARAAACTTACTTCACCTCTTAGCACATGCATGAACTAAAAGTAAAGGGATAGAATAAGATATTTCAGGCAAATGGAATCCGAAAGCGAGAAGTAGCCATACTTACATCAGATAAAATAGATTTTAAATCAAAAGCACTAAAAAGACAAAGAAGGTCATTGTATAAGGGGTTAATTTAGCAACAAAAAAAATTCTAAACACATACACCCAATATTGGAGAATCCAAATATATTATGCAACTGTTATTAGACCTAAAAGGAGAAAGAGACTCTAACACAGTAACAGTAGGGGAGATTAATTAATTACCCTTTCATCAATAGACAGATTATCTGGACAGAAAATCAATAAAGAAATGGCAGAGTTAAATTGCACCCTAGTCCACATGGACCTAGCAGACATCTACAGAAAATTCCATCCATACCTCCAGAAAACCTAGCCTTCTTATAGCATGTAGAGCATTCTCCATGATAGATCACACAATATAGGTCACAAGTCTTAACAAATTTAAAAAAAGAATGATGTTATATTAAGTATCCTTTATGCAACAGTTCAATACAACTAAAAATTGATTAAAAGAAAAAAATGCAAATCATACAAATAGGAAATGAGACAACTTAATCGTGAACAACCAATGGATCAAGGAATAAATCAAGAAGGAAACTGAAGACAAATGAAAATGGATATACAACAGAACAAAATCTATGGGATATAGCAAAATCTTATAGCAACAAATATTTCCATCAAAGAAGCAGGAAGATCTAAAACAAACAATCTATTGCTGTATTTATTCTATTGCTGTATTCAATCTATTGAAAAAATCTGGAATTAGTAGAAGTCAATAATAAAGATCAGAGCAGAAATAAATAAAGATTACAAAAAATAAAATATAAAAGATCAATGTACAAAGATCTGGTTCTTAGATAAGCTACACAAAATTGACAAACCTTTAGCTGTACCAAAAAAAAGAGAGAAAAGACACATCAAAATGAGACTCAACAATTTACACCAAGAAACAAACAGGATCATTAAAGTTTTATGAACAAATATGCATGAATAAATTTGATAACCTGGAAAAATGAAGACATTCCTGGAAACATATACCCTATCAAGAGTGAATCATAAAGAAATTTAAAACCTGAACAGACCTGAACAAGTAATTATATTGAATCAGTAAGAAAAAATTTCCCACCAAAGAAAAGCCCAGGATCAGAGGGCTTTACTACTGAGCTATACCAAACATTTAAAGAACAAATACCAATTTCTCTTAAATTATTCCAAAAAGTCAAAGAGGAAGGAATTCTTCCAAACATATTCTATGAGGCCAGCATTATTCCAATACCCAAACCAGACAAGAAATAACGAATGAAGAAGACTACACGCCAATCTCTTTGATGAACATAAATGGAAAAATCCCCAAAATACAAGTAAACTGAATTCAACAGCACATTAAAAAGAATATTCTTCTATACCATCAACTGAGATCTACCCCAGGGATGCATGGATGGTTCAATTTATGCAAATTCAAAAGTGTGGTAAATCATTTCCACAGAATGAAAGACAAAAAGTTAAGATCATCCCAAAACAGGCAGAAGAGAAATTTAATAAAATTCAACATTTCTTCATGCTAAAAATGCAGAACAACTTAGGTATAGAAGGAATGTATCTAAACATCATAAAGGCAGTTTATAATAAACCAACAATTAACATTATAATGACTAAAGAAAAACTAAAAGTCTCTTTTTAAAAAAATCTGAGAAAAAGACAAGGATGCCCATTTTCAACACTTTTACTAAACATAGTCTTCAAGTCCTATTCAGAGAAATTAGGCAAAAGAAAGAAGTGGAGGGTATATAAATGGTAAAAGAGGGAGCTGAATTATCATTGTATGTAGATGACATGATATAACCCAAAGACTCCATAAAAATTATTAGAATTAATAAACAAAGATGGCAAAGTAGCAGGATTTAAAATCAACACATAAAAATCACTACTAGTGAATTATCTGAAACAGAAATCAAGAAGGCAATACCATTCATAATAGATTAAAAAAAAATACCTAAGAATACATTTAACCACTCAGGTGAAGACATCTACAATGAAAGTATAAAACAGTGATGAAAAGAACTGGAGAGAACATTAAAACGTAGAAATACACTGTCAGTTCATGGATTAGAAGAAGCAATATTGTTACCATGTCCACACTAATACCCAAAGCAATCTACAGATGTAATGGAACCCTTACCAAAATCACTGACATTTTTCACAGAACTAGATATAAAATCCTAAAATTTGTARGAAACCTTTAAAAAAACACAGATAGTCAAAGACATCATGAACAAAAAGAATGAAGCAGGAAGCATCACTCTATAAGGCTTTAGTAATCAAAACAGGTTGGCACTGGCATAAAATCAGGCAGACCAAAGGGATGAACAGAGAGCCTAGAAGTAAATGCACACCTCTATGACCAAATAAYCTCAAAAGAAAACCCAAAGTGTTCTAAGAATACACTTTAGTGAAAGTATGGTCTTTTCTTTAAAGGGTGCTGAGAGAATCCAACTAGACCCCCACTTCCCACCCATTTCAAATATTAAAGTAAAAATGGATTAAAGACTAAAATGTAAGACCTGGAAATAGGAAACTACTACAAGTGTAAAGAAAACACTTCAGGATGTTGGAATGGGCAAGCTTATTTTTTGAACAGGATCCCAAAAGCATTAAAAGAAAAAGTGAAAATAGTCAGGTATTCCATTGAACTTAAAAGCTTCYGCACAGCAAAAGAAACAGCATAGTAAAGAGACAGATGATAGAATGGGAGAAAGTGTGTGCGGACCATACATCTGATGTGAGGGGTTCATATCCAGAACATGTAAGAAATAAGAACACTCAACAGAAAGAAGAGAAATACCTCAATTAAAAAACAGGTATTAAACCTAAATAAACATTTCTAAAAAGAAGACACACTAATGATCATAAAAAAATTTTCAACATCATTAATTACCAGGGAAATGTAAACCAAAGCTACAATAAAATGGCCCCAGTAAAAATGGCCATTATAAAAAAAAAAGATAACAAATGTTAGCAAGGATGTGGATAAAACCCTAGGACACTGTGGTCAACAGGAATAGCCACTGTTATGATTTAGATATGAGGTGTTCCCCAAAAGCTCATGTGTGACAAAACAGAAGATCCAAGAGGTGATATCATTAGATTAGTAGAGTTGTAATTTAATCCACGGATTAATCCACTAGTATGGATTAACCGGATGGTAACTGTAGGAAGACAAGGTATGTTTGGAGATGATAGGACACTGGGGATGTACATTTGGAATTCACATTTTATCTCTGGTGAGTGGAGCTCTCTCTCTGTCTCTTGGTGCCATATCCTCAATTGCTTTCCCCCACCACACCCACCCTTCCACCATGATGTTCTTCCTCACCTTGGACCCAGAGGAATGGAGTTAGCTGACTATGAACTGAGACCTCTGAAACCATGGGCACCAAATAAACTTTTCCTGCTCTAAAATTGTTCATGCAGGTCTTTTGGTCTCAACGACAGAAAAGCTGAATAAAACAAACGCTGTGGAAAACAACATGGAAGCTCCCCAACAAATTAAAAACTACCCTGTGACTCAGCAATTCTACTTGTGAGTATTTATCCAAAGGAATATAATCAGTATGGGCCTCAGCAGGAAAATTCACTGGAAAACTATTCAAAATAGCAAAGGGATGGAAACAAGCTAAGTCCATCAACTGATGAATGGATAAAGAAAATACTGTAAGTATATACCATGCAACACTCTCCAGACATGGAGATCCTGTCATTTGCAGCACTTAAATAGATGATGTTTTCTAGAGCTGGAGATTTTTATATTATATGAAAGATGAGGACCACATGATCTCACTTGTAAGTGGAATCAAAACCAGGTTATCTCATAATATGAGAGTAGAACTCTGGTAGTAAGAGGGGAAGGAAGGGATGGGAAGGAATGGATGGAGAAAGAGGGATCACTGGGAACTAAGTCACAGTTAGGAGCAAGAAATTCTGGCATGCTACTGCACAGCAGAGTGAATGAAGATAGCCATGAGGTACTGTATGTTTCAAAACTTTAGAAGGGATTTAATATTTTCACCATAAAAAGAATGATAACTGTTTGAAGGGATATGTATGTGTAACCTGATTTAAACATTATACAATGAATACATGTATCTAAACACCACCTGACTAATATGTACAATTTTGAATTTTGATGTTAGTTTTTTTTAAAAAACTATTAACTATAATAAGTGTGAATAAATATTTGTATTTTTAAATGAATTTAACTGTCTCCATTCTTCATTTCACTGATATGCCTGTATCCTCACCTTGAGGGACAGGTATAGTGTATGTGATCAGTAAAGAGACTTTAGAAAGGTCAAGTAGGCAGCCATGAGGACAATAGCATAGTCTCTTCTAAGCCTTGGGGCTACAATTCACAGGAGAGACACGTTCACTTTATGGGGTTGGGAAGACCAGAAACAAAGACAGAAAACAGTCACATGGAAAACAAGAGGAAAGAAGGRAGAGAACCAGATTCTCTTTCAAGGACCTACCGTTCCATCCCCACCGCAGGCCAGAATTCTCAGATTAGGTACCTTCCTGTAGAGCTCAAGCCTGAAGAGCAAACAGAAGAAAAAGTAAACAAAAGAACAAGTACTGTGGGTAGCAAAGAGAAAACACAGGACATGATCGGGGAGGTGGCATCCCCTGGGAAAAATGTGCCATCCTGAGGATGACAATACCCTTAAAACAGGTCCAAGTAACCACAGGAGAACTCGTCCAGCAACTGGACCACAGGTTGAAGCCAACAGAATTTTAAATGGGCAATACTGAATGGGATTTGGGCGTGTCCCTAGGTTCTTATTTCTCATGCTTCCCTTTATTATATCAACTCGTATTTATTTTTTTCTCTTTAGTTCTTGACTTTTTCTCTTTTTCTTTTCCTATCATTCACTCTTCTCCTTTCTTAAAGAAAACCATCATTAATTGATAAACAATACCCCTTATATGTCTTCTTATTATTATATTAGCTTTTCCTGGAATTACTTAGTTTTAAATCTGTATTCCCACTCTTAATTCTAGAACTTTTTTTTTTTTAGAGAAATGGAGATTTTCTCCACTATTGTTATAACCATACCTACAAGTCTATCACTCAGTGGACTCACTCACAGCCCTACTTACACTCACAGCCCAAGAGGGGAAGATTTATTGATTTTCCTGTACTGTTGACCCTGCCTGCTGAGGACAGATTGTGTTCTCCTACCAGATGGCAATCAAGAAGATGTAGAGAGGCTGCCCCTGGTGATCATCTGCTACTTAAGTGAAGCTGTTACTGGGTCTGCTCTAGAAAACATCACCTGTTGAAGTAAAAAGGATGTTTTCTTTTTCTGAAAATATTTCCTGTCCTTTCTTCCTTTCTACGGTGACCTATAAAGTATCTACCTGAGGTCTCACTAAAGTGATAAAATTTTATTAAATGTCAACAGATAAAAAGACACAAGCCAGCGTAGCAGATTCGCCTTAGCACAATCAAATACAGGAAAAAATACAAAAGGCTTAGAGCAAACTCTAGTGGCAAAGAAAGGCAAAGATTTGGGGAATGACAAATTTAAGTTTCATAATTCATGTTCTCCTGCATGTTTAAAATATATAATCTATCCGTTCATGCAGGAATAGTATTTCTGTAGAGATCATCTGAGTTGACATCTCTTTGCTTCTGATATTGCTACTTATTTAAAAAACTCGTATCCTTTATGTTTTAATGTTTAATAAGATAAGATCAGAACTCTCTTAGTAGGTGGCTTTAAAACAGGAAGTACAAAATAGCAAAAGTGATCCTGCTCTTTTCCACCATGGACATTCAATCAACTTCATGTACACCTAATTTTCAACATTCTAGCAAAAACAGAGAATGAGATTTTTGAGAAACTCGAAAAATGGATTGAGTAGGAATTTAAATGTTTTTCCCATGTTGGTGTAGAGCCCACAGTTAAAATCATCAATCAATCAATCTCTCAAACACACACATATACACACTCGCAAGCCCTCTAAATCAAATATTCACAAATAAATATGGCTCTGCTCCCCAGAGGTCAACCCACATTGCCAGTAGTGTGCATCTCCAAAGTTGTACATGCATAAATAAAAAAATAAGGGGTCCTTTCTCAGTTCACAACTTGCTATGAATAATCTACAGTAGCACACAACACACATGAGCAGCAAATACATTGGAAGTGCTCGATGAGTCAGCAATTGAGAAGTATGTTTATTTATTTATTTATTAGTTCTAATCAGTTATACATGACAGTAGAAAGCTCTTCAATTCATTGACACAAATGGAGCAGAATTTTTTACTTCTCTGGTTGTGCATGAAGTAGAGTCACACCATTTGGGCAATCATACATGTACTTAGGGTAATACTGTTCATCCCATTCCACAGTCTTTCCTACTCCTTTCCCCCCTTTCTCATCTCCCCTTTTGCCCATCCAAAGTTCCTCCACTCAGCCCATACCCTCTCCATATGGATTAGTATCCACTTATCAGAGAAAACATTCGTCCTCTGGTTTTTTGAGCTTGGCTTATTTTGTTTTGCATGATATTCTTCAACTCCATCCATTTTATGTTTTGAAAGAAAGTAACACAAGAAAGAATAAAAGAGACCACCAGATAACATTTTAAAGGTAAGAAAGTACAGGTGAGAGAGTAGAGAAGAGATGGTCAAAAAATGTTTCACAAGGTAATCAGGTAATGGAGCTTGACCCTCAAATCAGAAAGTTCTATCTTGCCTACAATACATTTGGATCCTGGAGGATATTCCAGACTTACGCATCTTTTGGCCCTTCCTGCGAAAGGTCAAAAACTTGCCGTGGATTCAGATACCACATGAACATCTGCAGGACTTTGGTTCCCTGTAGAGATAGAGAGAAAAAAATGAAAATAATAAAAATTTCACAATATTAAAAAATTAAAATGCAGAAATTTTCTAAAATAATATTTACTTATAAAAATGTAGAAAAGTTGTTAAAATAATGAGCTTTGTTCACAGATAAACAAAGGTTGAACAGCGAAGTGAGATGCTAGTCTAATGTGCAATTCTGGACAAGTTTCTTAATTTCATTAACTTCAGTCTCCCTTCCCTTTAATATAGAGATAAGATGCCTAGTTCCCAAACTGGTTGCCAGTGTTAAATGCAATGGTCCAGGAGCACATCATAGTGCCTGGTGTGTGATAGGCACTTAATGAATGGTATTTATAACTTTATTAACATTGCCTAATGTATGAAAAYGCATACAGGAAAGCTAACAATCAGCATCTGCAATGTAACCTTAATTTTTACTATTTGCACAGATTATTATTGTCTGCATAATATAAAAATTGGGTAGTATTGGCAAAGCATGATTTCATTTTTTTTCTAACAGTTACTGTGAATATATACAAGTCATATATATATACAAGTCTTACATAAAACTGTACCAAGTTAGTAAGACTATAGTTTACTTTGAGAATTTTCCAATCTCCATGTCTATGTCAATTTAAACCAAACCTTTTTCTGTCACATGAAAGTTTTTGGAGTGTGTTAAATAACTATGACATGTATCAAGATGATCAGGGGGTTGGGTTGTGGTTCAGTGGTAGAGCTTTCACTTAGCATGTGCGAGGCACAGGGTTTGATCCTCAGCACCACATAAAAATAAAATAAAGGTATTGTGTCTGACTACAACTTAAAAATATATATATTTAAAAACAAGATGATCAGGAAGAAAGGCAAAAGGCAGTTTGGAAATAATCTCTTACAGGGAACTGTGCAAAAAGAAATAAATGATCTTTTCATTACTCAATACCAAAAGAGCTTTAAAATTACGTGGGATGCCTCACTTTATGAACCTCAGAGCAAATAATATTTGATCAGTTAAGCAGAGTTGGTCGGTTGTAATTCTGTTCTGTTAGTGAATATCATGCTTGCTCTTTCCTAAAATATTCCTGAATTTGTATCATATCTACTGTATTTAAGAGTCATCCTCCTGTGGTAGAAAAAGCATGWCATTTGAGTCAGAACTAACTTGGATGTTCTAACTGTATGATCATGAACACTTACAATCTTGCAGAAATGCAGTGTATAAACCAGAAGGGACGTCTACCTTCCGGGATGATTATGTGAATAAAGTGAAACGGGAGTAGTTATGTATCTAGCATGGTATGTGGCACAAAATAGACCTTGATAAATGTGAGTGCCTTTCTTTTTTGCTCTTTGTTAATCTATTCATTAAATTGCACTTGATGGTGTGAGGGTTAAAGCGTAGTTTGTAATTATCACATTGTTATGCCAGTTGCTACAGAGGCCAATGCAGGTCTTTTGTTCCAAGTATCATCCAAACCTGCAATTTAAAAGTTCTGCTTTATCATGTGCCTGCTATAATTTTAGGAATAACATTTTACTCATAATTATTACCAGCAGTCCTCCAGTTTCACCACAGGACATATTTTGCTCCCTGTCAAATACAAACAGATTTAGAGACATAATGCTAACAAAATTGGATCATTTTCTTTCTCCCCATGCTGGGCCTTGCTCCCAAGTGTGTTTGGGATTATTTCAATAATCTTTTATGTTTAATAAGTAACATAAGAATCATTTTAATGACCAAACAATTTATAGAACATTTCCAACCAACTTGCTAGAAAATTAATTTTTCAGTTTTGGATTCCCTGAGCAGTGTGAATTGTTGGTGTTAATTACTCCTTCCTACCTTTGCTGTGCTAGAGTGCACATCTCAATCTCAGCTTCGCTTACTATGCATATGATACAAGGTTGTTAACACCTTTCAGAAATGTAAAAATAAAAACATTGAGAGATTATTTTTCCTTAACCTAAAATTTCTCTAAAAGATGTGAACAGCAGCACTGTTTTGGTTTTGCTAATTTTCAATTTGTGTTAGTGGGAACCTAATTATCTCAAATTATTCTTTCCAGGGAAGGGTACTAATGAAGGCTGGTGAGTTGCTCACTGCATATCCTGGGGAGGTGCCATTTGTGAAGCCATCTATTGGGATGATGCTGCTTCCTGGGAATTGAGCAGGAATGACAAAGCATGGCTACCCTATCAGAGCTGACATTCAGCATGATATAATTACTTTTTTAAGAATAGAAGTTCAGTGGATTAGACAAAGGGGAATGAAGAGAAGAAARGGAGGATAGAAAAAGGAAAGACAGTGAAATGTGACATAACTTTCCTATGTGCATATATGAATACACCACAGTGAATCTCACCATTGTGTACATCCAAAAGACTGGGATCCTAATTAGAATAAGATATATATATATATATATATATATATATATATATATATATATATACCAAGCTTGTATAAATATATCAAAATAGATTATACTGTCATGTATAAATAAAAAGAAAAAAATATTTTTTTAAAAAAGTAATCTTCTTTCCAAGACACGATATTCATTAGGAAAAATAAATGTTTGAATAAAAGCAATTGAAAAAAAATCAATCCTAGCAGGTGGAGAGAAAAGGTCTAATTCACACATTTAAGTGAGTTCCATTAACTCTGCTGCCACCTCTAGGATAAGCTACTTTAGGGCTTTAATAGAGGTAATTTATTAAATAGAACTGAATGGCCTGACAAATACTAATTCACTGGGGAAAGAGTAATTTGTTTCTTTCTCAATGCAGGATTAAATCTACTCAGTCATTTATACAACTGTCAGTCACTAGCATGTCCCAAGCACTCCTGTAGTTACCACAGGCTCTGTGACAAACAAAAGAGTTGCTACTTTTCTGCAAGAGTTTGGTTTTCTCTAAATGAAAAAAAAAATAATTTACACATGAATTCCAATACACATCACAGATATAATACCCCACTGACCACAGAACTTTTTGAGATACTATGTGACTGGGTATTCCTGAGGGGTTAAAAAAAATTACCCTTTCCAGCTCTCAGGAAAATGCATCTTCCCCTCAAATAAGTGGATTGTTATAGAAGGAAATGAACAAGGTTCATTCATTCCCCTGCTTTGTGCCCAGCAGTTTTAGATGAACCAGAGATCATCTTGCTCTCAGAAGGAAGTTCTATGCATTGTTCATAGAGGAAAATGAGGCAATAATGACCTGGGGCTATGGAGAAGCAATTAAATACAGGTCAGCTCAAACAGTACACAGATTCATCAAAGCACTGCCAACAATTCTGCCAAATGATCAAGTCCTGGTTCATCTCATATGGACATTATTTAGATCATGCAAAAGACAACTGCACAGACAGTGTGAGCTAAAAAGTGTGAGCTTCACTTTGTGGAAAATGAAGAGTCACTGAAACGATTTAATCAGAAATAGACCAACATTTTAATGCAGCAACAGTCTGGCTAAGATACTCAGGTTCTAGGCCTGGCAAAGGAGCCCCATGGCTTGGTTAGTGTCCTACCACCCCCAGGTTCCCACCAATATTACAGTTTAGAAGAGGGGCTTTATACATATTTGTGGTTTGATTGTTTTGATCCCATCTGTTGATGCTGGTTTACCAAGAAGATCTCCAGGCTGTATTTTAACACATGCCCTCATCTATTCCCTGCTGCTCTGTCCTCTTCCCAGGCAATGCTAACCCTTAGGAGCCTACATTTKTATTTATCTCCAGGTTGAAACATCTCCATCACTGCAAAAACCAACTTCCTCATTGAAATTGTTTGTCCAATTATTTAGAAACAGATTGAAGACTGAAATTCCTCCTCTGAAGTATTTCCTCTTCATCTGCCTCTTCTCCCCACCTTAGTGTGACTGGCCCCTGACTTGGGAAGGAGGACTTGTCTAAGGGATCCTGTTGGCAGATGGTGGTATGGGCTCAGCAGCAACAGCCTGTCCACCGGCTGAACATCCCTTCCTCAAATGCTCCTGCCTGTCAGGACCTGGAGCCCTGACCCAGGGATGCAAGGTCTACCATCCCTCTGCCCTGGAACTGCACATAGGTCAGGGTAAAGAGCCAGAGTCTCATACCCTCGACTCTCAAAACTGGGTAGCAGAAATCATTCTAATGTCAGAACATCTGCTTAACCCTAAATTTATAATGCAAATCATCTGGAATGAAGTTAAAAAAAAAAACATAGGGATAGGGGAAAAAGAGAGAAAGAAAAAGCAAGCCAACACAGGGCACATTGAGAGGGATCAAAAACTCTTCAAGACTCAAATTAGAAAGATGTTAGTGACTCTGGGCCATCAAAGAGAAATCATAGTTTTTGAAATTAAAGTAGAAGTATAAGGGAGGGCCCTACTTCTCTAGTCCTCTAAAGTTCCCATACAGAGGAGGGGTCCATATTAAGGTAAGCTCTGTCTTCCGTCTAYTACCTCCTTCCTTCAGGGGGAGTTGTTCAAAGAAAATATTTCCATCTCTGATCTAAGTGCCTGTTTCCTCAGATAATTCAGATCTCAACAATAATTACAGCACTACCAATGTCCAAGCCTTTGCAAAACAATATAGTCTCCACTTTGGAAATATTGGAAAAACAGACAATTCTTTTAAAGCTTAAAGTAAAAAAAATATAAAATAATGCRTTTTTTTCAAAGAAGGACATAGAAGTAACTCCTGTGTTTGTTTATGCCATGTTGAAAATTTTCCTGGCATACATACAATAGAGTATAAGAAAAAAGCTACAGGTATTTTTCTTGCCAGTAGATGGTGCTATCATCTAGTAGTTACTTAACAGATGAAGTTTCAGAGAGGAGATAAAATCTAAATAGTTTATATCCAAAAACCAGATAATGGGATAAGTAAATTATTAGAAGGCAAAAATTAGGATCCAACTGATTTTTTTCTTCTATTACTGGTAACACAATAAGCTCTTTCCAATCAGAGTGGCTTTCTGGGCAGCAGGGGTTAGCAGCACCTGGCAGCTGGTTAGAAATGAGAGTCTACCCAGGAGATTCAGAGCCATCCCTGACTTACTGAGGCAGCATCTGCAACTGTAGCAGGATCTCCAAGCAAACTTCATATTAAATGTAATCATGCTGCTCTGTTCAAAAGCCAAAAGATTTCACAAACCTAAAATTCTTTTAAAAACAGCAAAAACCTAGTTGCCTTTGCACAAATCCAAAATCCTCATCCAAGTTTTCCATARGTTCATTCTAATCTTTATCTAATCCCATTTCCAATAACTTAATATGYACACTCCACTCACCACATTGTCCTTGAAGTGAATAATTTCCATCATGACATCTGATCTTCTATTCATATTGTTTATTATACAATTATTAGTCTGCCACGTACTGTGTGCTAGAAATAAAAGATTTCCTATCACCCTGAAGTCATATCTTGCCTTTAAAATTTCACAGCACTTTCAGTCAGAGCCATTCAATTCAGAATAAACAGTGAAAGTTATTTGAATTATTTTGTTTTTCTATTTTGTGTCATTAAAAAACATAAATCCTTTAAAAAATCACTTAACCCTATCTTCTTTCTTTCAATTTTTGTTTTGTTTTGTTTTCTGTTTAATGAAACAGGGAATAACACTAGTCTCTGAAGACCCTGTCATCAAAATTTACACAAAGACTAGAATAGGAACAAGCTCTTTCTTAACTTGTCAAATCTGTGAAGACAGGCACAACTCACAAGCTTCTATGGGCCTAGGAGAAAAGTTTGATTATAATGATTTAGTAAATGAGTTTTTATGTGACCTTTCATGATAAAATGGATTTTATATGAACTGTTATGATAAAATAATTTGATACTAATTAGCATGTGGCACTCAGGTGGCCAAAATCATAAAGCCAACTACATCCACTTTGCTGTATTCCATGGTCCTCAACCATATCCCAACCCTTGGTAGGCTACAGAGAGGTGAGCTCAAGAGCAGTCATGGTTCAGGGCAAACTGAACCTCAAAGGGTAAGAAACCCATTCTTAGTTCCTCCTCTATGGACACTTGAATTCACCATCATTTTAATATTAAGATCATCACTCAGCAACTCAAAATCAAAGGATGCTGAAAATGAATGTTTCCTTGTTTATAGTACATTCCTTTCCCCTGATCTCTACAATGCCAAAACATATTCTTAGCATAGCAAGTTATCAAGAATCTTGAGAAAAGAAGAGGGAGAGGGATGTYACCTTTAAATCATAAACTCTCCTAAGAGAAGCCTTAACATAGTTAATGTGTGTTTAGTAACAATGATGTCCTTTGGACTATGGGGTTAATCCTAACTATAGGACTCCCTTCCTTACATGAAGAGGCAAAAGAGCTTCCAACCTCCAGTTGTTCACTGTGAAACCTCAAAGAATCTTGTCTCCCAATGTAAATTGTTCACATGAAAACACCAGAAATCAGTCTATAGAATATAGTGATAAAGCCCCAGAGAGTGGGAAGAGAATTGGATGAACAAAGACCCAGATTTTAGAACAAATTCTATCCTTTAAAGAGCATTGTCACTTTAGGTGTGTCCCTAAATATTTGTAAAGCTGTTTCTATATTTTCAAGGTAATCATTACCTACTAAAAGGGTTTGGGCAAGGACAGGATGAAATCCTTGGAAGCTGATATATTCTACAGCTTTGGTGGTGTCTGTTAATAATTGCTCTGACCCATGAGTCATCCATCTCCCTTATCTTGAGGGGCAAAAGTAGTTGGGTCTAAATTACAATGGGAAGAACTAAAGACGGCTTGATAGAGGGATTCCCAAGGAATCCCTTGGGAACTGTGAATCCCTGAAACAGTAACCAAGAGAAATTTGGGAATGATCTTTCTTGAAAATATAAAAAGAAAATGTCAGTAGTTTGGAGGACCTCTGCCTCGGTCCAGTTGGARGTAGAGGAATAAATCACAGAACCTCCAGGCTTTGTCCAGCCCAATGTAGCCAACAATAACCTTGTCCTGTGAAACTAGCTGTCTGCCAATGCTTGAGGTCCTGGTGGTGCTATTTTAATTAATACTGGGAGTTATGTTTTCAAGAAATCATCTAAAGCTCTAAGTCAAACTCATGACAAATGACTCACCTGGTTTCCTCCACTCTTGGGATTCACAAACACAAGCAAGGGTTTCATGAGAGGAGAAGAGATAGGTTTTATCACAAAAGGACGACCTTTGTTTTCCTGCTGGAAGAAGCAAGCAACACAGTTAGTACAGAAATCTACGCCTTGAAAGCAACCGCAAAGCAAAGAAAGTGGGATCCCAACTTGGTGGGCACTCCCACCTACCCCTCCACCCACCAAAAAATCCTTTATCTTCTTTTGCAAGGATGACTCTTCATAGGACCCTCTATACATAAGTTGGAAGTCTCTTAAACTATAATTTGCTTCAGATAATTAAGCCTTGCTTTTGAGTTTACTCTGTGTACTCTAGGAATTCTAGAAATGTCGACTCTTATCATCTTCTTCTTCTTCATCATTATCATCGTCATCTTTGGGATGAGGTTTCCATGTAAATGCTCTGACTCTGAAGTGACAGTTTAGATGTCTGTGTCTGTGTGTGGTGTGTGTGCCTATGTGTGCCTGTGTGTGTGTGTGTGTGTGTGTGTGTGTGTGTGTTCCTATTTATTTATTTGGAACAGAAAACATTCTGGTGAGATTAGAATATAAAGAAGGAGAAAGAGAGGTGGGAGCTGTGTCAGAAACCAAGCTTGGGCCAGGCCTTCTGCACAGAGCAGGCTATGGAAAGGAAGCTGTATTTCCTTGAAACCTAACTCTCCAACACTTACTTCAGTTCCTCTTTTACTGGCTTTCCTTTTAAAGCTTGTTCTCTTCTTCTTCCGATTGGAAGCCTTCAGGGAGTTCTGTAGGGAAAGAAAGAGCTGCCTGAGCCCAGAGGCAGGCCGCCCCGGGGCTTCCATGCAGAACCATGTAGAGAGTGATGGCAGCACATGCTGTGGACTGCATGCTTCTCATGCTTTGACACTTCCAAGCCACTGCTCATGGGTAAGCCACAGACAGAAACCAGTCGAGTGCTTCAGAGTGAGCAACTGACTCCCCAGCACACGGAGGGCAGGGAGGGAGAGCCCCAGGGGCTCTCGTGGACTCACATAACAACACATGTTATACCTGCCAACCCTCCCAGTAAAAATGGAAGAATCCCAAATTCTCTGAGGGGCTCCAGTCTCCCGCCCAACCAGGTCCGTCTCCCGCCCAACCAAGTTCAAGTTCATCTCCTGGTATGGAGATCACCTATGTGGAAATGTAAAAAAGGAGGCCATTTTTCATGTTTTTCTTTTCTTTTGTTTCTTTTTTCTTTCCTGTTAACTTTTTTAATGGTCTTTTAATAATAATTGTCATAAAATGACTCTTGACCCCAACAGAACTTCATGATCCAACCAACTACTGTATTAGCACYGATGTCTAATATTTTAAATGCTGAGGTAAGAGTCACCTTAAGTTACTTAACACAGTAGGAGAGCAGTAATTGCCTTTTCTTTCTCTAAAGGCCATTGGTTTAGAAGGTCTTCCTGCTTCTATAGTAGCCTTTATTTTTTATTCTCTCATGGAAGTGACTTGGACTAATTGAAATACAGTGACCTTTGAATTTGCTTTCCTTTCTAGGGATTTTATAGACCACAACTTGGTGATTATTTCAACTGACCATTAACTCTTAATATTTGATATAGAYGCTTAGAGAAGAACCTGTTAGAGAACAGACACAACTTACTGGTTGGAGACAAGGCAAAATCAGATTTAATAAGCAGAGTCAATAATTAATTAGACTGCATCTTCACAAGGATAAGATATTACTGACCATATAATAGATGTCTGACCAAGTGTTGAMGGCCTGAAATGCAGAATTCTTAACTTAGAAGTTCATACAAGTATACATACTTGCCATTGTTTGAGCAGTTAAAATTTTTWAAAACAGCTTGAAGAAATTTAGCTATCTAATTATCTACTTTTTAGAGTATTTTTCCCATAGAGCATTCAAAATAAACTTTAGTCTAGATTACATATATTAATGCATCAAAAATTAACAAGATCCAAACTAGTTTGCTTTTATTTCACTTTGACTTGMATATACAAAAAAAAAAGTTCATCTATCACCTGTGTTTACCAAGGATGAAAGAAACTTTTAAGAATTACCACTTGTCTCAAGGTTTTCTTTCCCCATCAGTTTAGAATAAAATGAAAAAGACCCTGGAGCTCATGGGTGCTCTAGACCCCCAGGTGATTACTCATACTTACTGTTGACTATATCTCCCCTAAAAATAGATCTCCAGGTTTCTAAATCCTGGTTCAATGGGTCTTTTATCATGTCCTTGTCTCTTCTGCATTATGAAGTGATATATTTCAATAAATTTTGGTTTGTATAAAAGGGAAGAAAAAGGATCTGAAGTCTTTAAAAGTTTAATCAGCCACATGATCCAAGAAAAAYGTTGGAAACCACTAGGCCGGCAGAAGAAGTGTCTATTTGGTGTCAATCAATGATGCTCTCAAAGATTCTCAACCATGTTTACATATTCGTCTCACCCAAAAAGCTTTGTAAAAACTATTCATACCTGGGCCACATCAAATGTTCTTAATAAATCTGTTTGGGATGAAGCCCAAGCAAGCACATTTTTTAARAGCTCCCCAGGCAATTCTACCATGTAGCCAGGGCTGAGAACTGCTTTTTGAAGCAGAAAAGAGGAACATGAGGAGTGTATAGAAGGGTACAGCAGATGAACAGGGGGGAAGCTTGAGTCTGATAGACTTGGTAGGGTCCCGAAATTCCTCATTACTACCTCTGTGACCTTGGCCAAGTCAGTTGAACTTTTTGAAACATCAGTCTCTTAATTTTAATATGAAGTGGTAATACCTACCTCAAAGGACAGGTGTGAAGTTTAAATGAGAAAAGGTATGTGAAGCAGTTAGCCCAGTATCCACTGCCTCGTCCCCAGCTGCACAGCCCAGCACCCAGCACAAGGTTGGCAGGATGTCTGCACTCYATCTTTGTTGGAACAGGGTGCACACGTTATCATACCTCACAGCACTTACTAACCCTCCGCAGAGTTTGGAAGTGAACCCTAGGAAGTTAACCCGTGCCTCCTAACTTAGCACTTCTAGCCATTCACTGTCAAGAGCAGCTGCAGGATGCCACGTGCTCGCAAGGACACGCTGTGGACCTTGATTTTTGACTCTAAGAGATAGGTCTATCAGATCAGGCCAAGATCTTACAACAAGTTTCTTAAACTTGTCTGATCATAAAATCACAGCATTTCAGATGATTTTGAGGATCAAGCACACAAGGGGAACACGGAATTGGAAAAACACATTGAAATAAGGGTAGATATCTGAGAATAGTGCAGGTGAGGAACTCAACTCCCATAGGGAACAGACACACAAAACAGCCTTGGTAACACAGAGGTAGCAAATGCAAGTTCTTCTTAGCCTCACCCGGACGAAGGCATCTGAGGCCTTCCTCACTTCACAGACCAAGAAGAGGGTGAAGCCCAAGCACGGTGTTGTACAGTACCTGCGAGCGTCTGCGTGAGTTCTGAGACCTTACAGCCCTACGGTGGTCAGACAGCAACAGTGAGAGTGTGCAGTTTCCCAGCACGCCTCAACGTTCCCGAAGGCTCCCTTCTGTGCACATGGAAATATATACTTCTGTCTGAACATACGACCTCATTTGGAAGGCAGCATAATTCAGTGAGGAACAGATGAATGTGAAGGCAGACTGAGGAGGTATTTTGGCCACAAGAAGATAAGTCACCTACCCTCACGAACCTGCAGCCTGGCCTATCCTCCTGGGTCAGACTGTTAGAGAATCTAACACAACAGTCTGCTTTTCAAGAAGGCCAAAAGGATATCAGGAAGGTATTGTGCAGACTTGTTGGAAGATAGAGTCAAGAATTCTTTAATTCTTGGCCTGTCATCCAGAACGTCTAGGGCAGCTAACTTAGGGACACAAACGATTCCTTTTGCAAGATTAATACTATCCAAACAGGGTTTTGTTGTTGTTGTTGTTTTGAGGGTTTTTGTGGGTTTGTTTGTTTTGTTTTTGTTTTGTCATTCTTCGGATCCCAACAGTAGTTGCCCCTGTACATTCCGTGCCTGCTCTTTTGTGAAAGACCTAAAGAAAAATAAAGGCGTTTTGTTTTTTTGGACCCGATATCAGGGTCATCTTACCTTGCCACAGAAGTAATCCTATCAACAAGACCCTTAACATAGTTATGACTCCTTCTTGGGCTGTTAAGAAATACTTTGGTATGAATCACTCAACTGTGAAAGAAACTTTAGGTCTTATTACTCTTAAGGGATTTTTCCAGGTTATGGGGCCACATATGATTGTTTGTAATAACAGGTCTTAAAAAAATAAAGATATACCAATTCATCATCCCAAAGGAAGTCATCCCCCCAAAATACTGAACCAAACTCTGATAGGCAACAGGAATGGGAGCAGGGACTGAGTTTCTCATTGCCTGCTCCAGCTAGGTCATGGTGATTCTGAGGATGGGCAAGCAGAAGAATAAAGAAAACCCACATCAAAAGTTAAGGACACGGGAAAGGGAGGAGGGTAAGGAGTGTGGAAGTGCTGGGGACTGAAATGGAGCAAATAATATTCCATAACATGTTTGAATATTTCAAAATGAACCCCACAACTACGTGTAACTATCATGCACTAATGAAGACATTTTTTAAAAAGTTAAGGACATGGTCTCAAAAGCTGCAAATAGTCCTATACCTGGTTAAATCACAAGTACTAGTTGACCTTTAGAATTCACCAAAGGAAATAACTTGGGCAATTTTAAGGGATACTGTTGGTCATTGCATAAAATTAGCTATTACATTTCATAGGTCCCCAGCATTTAAAGAACATTTTCCAATTATAAGGGATTAAAAAAACAAAAGGACTAATATAAAAAAAAAGCTCATTCAGGGCCAGGAAGAAATAAAATACAGCATTATTTATAAGTGGAACATTAAAAACMATATAACTACCTATCAATAGGGAGATTAACAAATAAACTGTAATACAACCATTGTATGGGATGTGGACAGCAGTTTAAAATATGACTTGGGTCTCTAGGTCTTCATATAGACCTGTCCCCAAGGGTCATGTTATTACTAGGCTGGAGCAAGTTCTAAAGCATTGAGAGTAGAATGAGGTCTCATATTAAAAACATGTACCCCAGTGCTCACAATGTCTCTATATCTTTTTCCATAGGTATGTTTTTATGCATGTAAATTAGTAATAAAAATTCCATATGAATTTTTTAAACATTTCTTTCAGTTGTAGATGGACACAATACCTTTATTTTATTTATTTATTTTTATGTGGTGCTGAGGATCAGCACCAGTGCCTCATAYCTGCAAGGCAAGTGCTCTGCCACTGAGCTACATATGGATTTTTGATGGGGGAGATGGGGGAGAGAGACCTATAMTTTAAAATGTTGGTAAAAGAAGACTGTTTTTTAATCCAAAAAGTTTACTTTTTTATAGGAAAAACATTTATGTATTACTCATTAAGAACTACACAATAAATCAAAAGACACAGTACTATCATTCTTCAAAGAAACCACAGTGCTCCTATTCAGTGCTCCTATACAGTCCCCACGGACTCAATTCAGGAGAGAGGATGGAGCATCATTTTATATTCTTTGCACAAAACTATAGACACCCTTTGAGATTACTGGGAGAGTTACAAAACAGAGACAGTTTTGGAAAAGCCAGTGGTTCAAAAGCAAAATATTTTTTTTTTTTGAAGGATGTCTTGTCTCATGACGCGAAACTTCTGCAAAAAGCTTTCCCACCCCCATATTCTACAGCTGAATCCTGTAAGACATTCATGTGATGTGTGTCTTACTCCTCC